GCACGAGAAACCCAGCAGCTCCTGGGGGGAGGGGGTCTGAGGCAGGCAAAGCCCAGCCCCAGGCCCCCTCGGGACTCACCAGGACCGGAGCTACTGCGTAATGAAGTGCCCAGAGGGTTACAACCTCAAGGGGAAGAGGGACCGAAGGGACCTACAGCCATGGGGCTGCTGGAGGGGCCAAGAGCTGCATGCAGGCAGCTCCTGAGCCGGGGAGCTGTGACCAGCACAGCTGCATGGGGGAACCTGCTCTCTGCCCGTGCCCACTGCCTCACGCAGCTCCTGCTGCTCCAGGTCGAGGCAGGAGAGAGCACGAGCCTGGAGGGAAAGGGGGAGGTGGGAGGAGAGGAAGCTGGTGCAGGGGGCAGCAGGGGAGCTCGTGTGCAGGGCACCCTGGCTCCAGGTTGGCGTTTGCTGAGCATCTGAGCCCTTCACAGCCACAGGAGCACCCCAGGGTACCGACCACAGCGAACAGGAGCTACCCGGCCACTTCATGTGGCAGCAGAAAAGAGATGTCAAGCTGAGCATTTGCTTGTCACCGACCTCATGCCTCTCACACCAAGCTCACAGGGGAGTAGTTGCATGGCTTGAAAACTGCACAGGAGCCATCACGCTGAAAGGATTCCCAGGTTCACTGGAAATCCTCACACCAAGAGAAGGAAAACAAGGTCCTCAGGGAAACCAAGAAAAGGAGGAGAGGGCTGCACCAAGAGCTGCAAAACAGCAGAGAACAGCTCAGCAGAGGGTGCTCTCTGCACAGGATGCTCAGGCTTTGCAGGCTCGAGGAGCTCACAGCAAGGAAGAGCAGGGATGAAACAGGGCCCTAAGGAAGAGGGCAGAGAACGCAGGACACTGCAGTCTAGGTGAACATTCGCCCCGCAGCTGGGCTGACACAAGGAGAGAGAGATCAGAGGCAGACCAGCAGCAGGGCACAAGCACCAGTGAGGGGACAGTGGAGCACCAGCCCCGGCAGCCCCTGCGCTGTGCCAAGGAGCCTGCGCCCTGTCCTGGGCTCCATGCGGCCCCAGGGGCTGCGGAGCAAGGCGGGCATCACAGCCAGGGATGGAGCAGGAAGGGTGAAGACAAGGATAGGTACACAAAGGTTCCTACAACGTGAGAGGCAGAAGGAGAAAGAGAAGATGGTGCTACACAGAAGTGAGAGGAAGCTTATGAAGAGAAACACAGGAAAGGGAAAAAGGCAGCCCCATGGCAGAGCTGTCCACCACCACGTCCCCTCAGCCCATGTGGCCTTTGGTCACTGCAGAGACCCAGAGGTGAACACTGACCTGCTGCCCGAAGGGCAGTCCACGCTGCCGCCCGTCCCTGTCGCAGGCAGGAAAGGGAGGATGTGACCATGGGTGCAAGGCATGGGGCACAGGCCAAGGCGTGAGGCGTCACAAGGAAGCACGGAGCAAAGCCGATGCCAGGTCCAGATGGCAGCACCCAGCAAGAGGGAGCTCTTCTGCTCCACCCTCCAAGTGGGACTTGCCCTGGCCAGCACAGACGGAGGGGACCAGAAGTACAAAATCGTTCCCAAGGTGGTGGGACTAGATCAAGTACAACATGGCTGATCCATGTCCCCCTGCACACAGGAAGCAAAGGCCCCTGGAAAGCTGCTGCCATCGCTTTCCAGTTCTTACACTATCCCTGTCACTCCCAGAGGAGGGAGAGACACCCTGGAGAAGGTGAGCAGTAGTGCCCCGTGTGGCTGTCGTTAGCAAAGCCACTGCCCGAGGGGGCTGTGGAGCTGGTGACCAAGATGCTCACAAAGCAAGGCAGCAGAGCCAGCACTTCCCAGCCCAGACTGGGCTCATTCATCCCAAACCATTTGTGCTCTCCCTCAAGGCACAAAAGTCAGGCTGAGTCAGGACTCGCAACTAAATAATAATAATAAAAAGAAAGGAGAGTTCAGGTAAGTATTCATACTGACACAGCATTTGGTTTCAACATAAACGGATCCTTGGGCTCTACGCTCCAAAACACTAGTGTTAGATTGCCAGGCAAGCAGTCAGTCCCTGCTCTATGGGTCTTGAGACTTTCCCAAATTCCCTAGCTGTGGATCCAACTTGTCCACATACGCTTTTTCCTTCAGCACCAACAGCCATCAACCCAAGAAGGGGATGTTACTGGGTAGAAAAGGGGAAGGGAATATAAAAATTCACACTCATGCACTTGGGGAGATGATAGAGAACATCTGGTGTTTCTTTCAGTGAAAGGGAATCTTTATTTGGCCCATGGGGAAAGGGAGAGGGAGATGAAGGGGAATCATCTAAAATGGAATGACTTGAGTGTGCAAATACATCAGCAACCACGGGGTGGGTCAGACAGGAACGTACACGAGACACAGGTGGATTGCACTGATTGCAGTTTCCAAGCAGCTCTAGAAATAACCCAGGAAGCCCCGCAGCAGCTCTACCGTACCGCTCCCGGGCGCCGCGGCAGCCCTCCCGGCGCAGCAAGGCGGCCGCGCTCGGTTAGTGAGACATCTCCGTGGCAGGTGGCGAGCGCCCGGCGCAGGAGGCATGCTGGGGTAGGGCTCTCACACGCTCCTGCTCCCCACCTCCTAAGGTGCCCTGCGTCTCCAGCCTGCTCAAACGCTCCAAGCTTCTTCCAAGAGCTTCTTCCAGCTGTCCCCGGAGCTCCTGGACACCCTCCAGCTCCACCTGCAGCGTGTGGTCTCTCGCAGTGCTAAGCGGACACGCCGCACAGAAGGGAAGAGGGTTAGACAAGCTGCAGCAAGCACACATTGGGTGGCCCTCCAGGACTGCCACTTACTGCAAGCACAGGCCCTCCATACTTCACCCAGACACCTCTGCCTCACCCCAAACCTCCCCAGAGCACACCCACCCCAAAGGCTTCAGCGCAGGACGGGGGGCTCTTAGCAGCAGCTGTTCTTCAGTACTTACCCAAGCACTTCACATATGCGCTCTCTCAGTGACAGGTAGCTCAAATATCTCAGAGGCTGCAGCCCCGTGAAGGGCAGGGGATTAGTGTGGAGGACAGATGCAGGCCATGATCTGCTACAGGACAACAGCACCTACACAGACCCTTCTCAACCCACTGGAGAATTTGACAACAGCAGCCTCCAAAAAGTGGCTGAATGTGAGGGGGAAACACAGTGAAAAAGGCAGAGGCCAGGAAATAGGGATGGAAATGCCAGGACCTGAGCACAGAGGGTAGCAATGGGGGTAGTTTACAGAGCATTTGAAGCTGCCCACTGTGCTCCTATCAGGGGATATATAATGCCAAAAATCTAGACACCAAGAGCCAAGCTTGTCCAATTCCTTCCCCAAGCTCCCTCTTTCTCTCTGAGGGCTCACAGACCTGCACAACACTCATAGCTTGAGGGGCCACTCCCTGGATGACCCCCATGCTCTGGGGCGCTGCGGAGCCAGCGCGGCCTCACTTACCTGTCCGGGTGTGTGTGGAACTTCACCAGGCTGCTGTAGAGCTGCCTCTCTGCCTGGAGAGCCTCATTTAGCCGGTTCCTTTCAGCCACCAGCCCTTCCAGCATCAGTAACAACTGGCCAGAGCACAGACCAGAGACAACAATTAGAGGCAGAAACCAAAGGCAGCATCTGGCTGGCCCTGAGAAGCGGGGCCTTTCTCTTCCAGATATAACAACCATCTTTCTTGCTTCAAGTGATCAAAACCAACTGCAGTGTCACCCCAGGCTCCCCAAAAGACCGCCCCTGGTGCCAATGCTGGAAGAAACCATTCCTCCTCTCCTTTGTGTTCCCTTTTCCATACACAGCCAGCCTCCAGGAACAAAAGCATCTCAAAACATCCGGAGGCCAAAAGTTAACTGAAAGTACCAGCAGAAAAATGACACACTACCTGCTGCCTTCTGTTTCCAGTAGCCTCTTGCACTCGTGATTCTGCCATGGCCACTTTCTCCCGAAGCACCAGCAGTTCCTGAGTCAGCCTTTCCATGGCTGGAATTTCTTCGGGGTCCACCAGCTGCATCTGCAGATCCTGAAAACCAAATGCAGGAGGGCTCAATGGAAAAGGGCTCAGTAACAAGGACAGCTGAACTGTTGTAACCCTCCCTGGAATGCAGCTGCCAAATTTTCCAGTGCTAGGGAAGACCACGGTCTCCAGAGACAAACACCCATGTAACCCAGGTACGTTAAGCACAGATAAAAGCCTGAAGCAAGGTCTGCAGAATAAGCCACAGTGGTCCTTGCCTCTCCCAAGGAAGGGCACTTAGCACATGAGGAGCAGAAAGACAATGATGACACCCTGGGCAAAGGCCTGGGTTTGGGGTCCTTGCATTCTGGGCAAAATAAGGGCTGCGGGCAAGTCAGCAGCAGTACCAGCCACAGCCAGAGTTGTTAATCTGAAGCGGCCCCTCACTCCTTAGCAGGGATATCCAGTTACTGCTGTCACAGAAACAAACAGCTAGATTTCTGACATCTTGCCATGCAGTAGAAACAAGCGAGTGAGGACCAGGACACATAGGGAGGGAAGAGGCTCCTCTGCAGTCCTCCTGGGCAGAGCTGCCACAGCACAGCCCATTTCCTTACCTTGATGAGGTCCTCTTTGATCTGGATGTTCCTGCTCAGGGACTCAATATCTGAGGCCTGCACCTGCAGCTCTTCCTCCTGGGTGGCCACAACAGACTGGAGAGCAGTGAGCTCTCGCTATGGAGGAAAAAAGTCCATGAAAACCACAGCAAGCTCAGAGGGGCAAGAGCCAAAGCACCACTGCGAGCTGCTGCCTCATGTCTCTCCCTTGACAGGTCCAAAACCAACCATGAGGGGCAGCTTCAGTTTCCCTTAGGCAAGGCAAACATGGACTTTAGCACCAGCTCACCCTGCTTTCCCTTTCCTTCTTTGCCATCAGCTCCAGCTCCTCTTTGGCATTAACAAGCTCCTTCTCCAGCTCTGCTCCTGACGTTGCAACTGCAGAGGAAACAAGGTTACTGCAGGGTTACCATGTGCTGCTACACAGTGCCTCACCCCAGGGCTCGACAGAAACCCTCTCTTTGGCAAGATACAGGTCCACGATGACTGCTTCCTAACATGTTTTGCCTTCCTAAAAGTCACTGCTCCCTTACTGATCCTTAAGCAGCAGTCCTGGGGAACAGCAATGGCCCAAGGCTGCTGTCCCACTCCTGGCCACGTTCAGATGTCCTGGCCCCAAGGTTAGCCCCAGGCCAGCCCCACACTCTCACCTCCAGCCTGAGCCATCAAGTCAGAAAGCCCACAATGGACAATACCAACTGTCCAGCAGAAGTGTCTCACCCCCAAACCAATGCCAGCCTTTCCCATGGCTCACACCCCCACGTGCCCTCTGAGCCATCACCCAAGGGAAGGCTCGCCTTCATTTCAAAAGACTCATTCGTGCTCAAATGTTTTTGTCAACCTACCCTCTTAGGAAACCGTTTCTGCCACAGCCAAAGCTCTAGGTCACTGCTGAGATCTTAAGGGAAGCTGCCACGGCACTCACCGTCCTCTGTCCCGCAGCTGCTGTCCCTCTCTGGGGGTCCAACAGTGGCTGTAGCTCCACAAACAGTCTGCAGCACTTCCTGAAAACATAAAATCCTCCTGGTTTGCAGTTTTATGGGGCACCTAGCAGGCTCTCAGCTCGCCCAGAGCCCAGGCTCCAGGACTGTAGCAAACCACTGGCTGCTCTCCTGGTGGCTCTGCGACATAACAGGGCAGTGAAGGGGAGCCAACCAGGCAGCAGGGCAGGTGAGCTGCACCCAGCCTGGAAGCTTCATGTTTGGAAACAGGGCTCTGGCCTTGCTTTATGGGGGACTACGAGGTTATTGGGAGAGAGCTCCTTTATACTGAGGATTAAACATGTTTCACTCAACCACAGCAAGCCCATCTTCCAACTGAGACTCTAACTAGACTGAAGTCTTCCTCCAGGGATTTGGCCTACCAGAGGGACCACACAGGAAGGAAAGTGCAGAGCTTGGCCCACATATACATCTCTGGAAGTCTCTGGAGCTCACTTTGATCCCAGGAATAGAAACAAGCCACCTGCTTACAGCTGTTTCAAAATCCTCAACATGTCACTTCACCAGTAAACGATCAACAGCTGCTCAAGTAGGAGTGGGGTGTAGGTAGCCTCTGAGTTGTGTTGAGCCTCAAAGGGGTTTTTAGCAAAGCTGCTTTAAAAATACCAGTTCCAATTGTAGAAGAGATGGCAAAAGGCCAGCAGGCTCTGCCAAGAATTAGTGGGGCCTAAAATTAGCTCCCCTGTCCCTTCCAGAATGTGACAATGTCAGGGAGGGGATTACAGTGCAGTGGCCCAGCCCGGCCCAAGGAAGGACTGGGTCAAAGCTGGAAGGTCAGAGGGTGGATTTCTCACATACTCATGCGTGCCCTGGGGACTCAAATACTATTGCCTTATCAAAATGAAAGGAGGCACAGAGTGACAAAGGCTTGTGGGTCAAGATCAGAACATCCAGGCAATATTTCTGCTCCTCAGTTTTGTCCGTTCTTCCTATAGAAAGTCTCTTCTCCACTCCTATTCTCATTACTACCACTGTGTGGTGCTTCCCTCCCTCTCTCACTTCTTCCCACAGCAATCATCTCTCTGGAGCCCTGAGACTGCCATCAGTGAAAGAGAGCACAATCCTTACTTGTTCATCCTGCTTCAACAGCCTGGCACCAGCTGACCGAGTGGCAACGGGCTCCTTCCCCGGCCAGTGCTGGCGCAGAAGCTGTAACTCGCAGCTCCTTTCGGCCAAAGCACAGGCCATCTTCTCAGCAGCTGCCTGAATGAGCAGGAGAAAAACAGAAAGGCAGGGCTGTGACCAAGGAAGGGGTGGATCCCTGTCCCTCACCTTCCTTAGGGACTAAGGGAAACATATTAATATTTATCTGTCACTTGGGACTAGGAGAAAGGTTCTGTAAACTAGTGTGGGTGCTACCACTCCTGGTCCTTCACAGTGGCCCTCCCATCCCTGCCTGGGAGGCAGCTGCAGCAGGGCTCAGCCTCTGCCTACAGAGAAAGCTCCTCGGTTCTCCTCACTCCATCCAGAAATGGATGGAGACTCAGGGGAGACAGAAGACAAAGAAAAGGAGATAGAGCTTGGGCTTTTACCCCCCTTTTTATGAAAGGAAACTCGATCCAAAGTATCTCAGGTAATACTGAGGTGCATACAACAGACAAGAGTAGACAGAGCAGAACCTGGGGCTCTTCAAGCAGCAGTTACTCCCAGGGCCGTACAGCAGTTTGATTAAAATGTAAATTAAGAGGCAATGAGCAGAGTTTCCTCGTACTTCTGAGCTGCGCAGCTGACATCTTGGAGACCTCCCTTCTGGTCTGCTAACACCTATATGAACCAGTGACTCTCTCCTCAGCTCCTCCACCCTGCACTGCACCCAACTCACTCTGCTCCACTGCTCCTTGGCGTCCATAGCCTGCAGCAGCTCCCGGACCTCAGCATCATGCTCCATAGCCTGACGGTTCCTGTCACCAAGGAGATCCTGCAGCATCTTCTCCTTGCGCTGGAGACGGAGGCACAGCTCCTCCACCACCTCACTCTGCCCTGGGCCCAGCTTGCACAGTAGGGTTGCTGTGAGCTCCTGAAGAAAAGGGAGGAATGGAGAGATGTTGCTACTGCTCTCACCAAGCTGCAAGCTGTGCAGGCCAGAACAGCTCTTCAGCCCGAGCACAGCCATAGGAGCAACACCTAGGAAGCACAGGTATCTACAGGCACTGAGAGCAGTCAGTTTAAGGCATGGAAGTTTAAATGCTCTCCTCAGAGGCAGGAAGCTCTTGGCACTGCTCTCTGCAGACAAACTGACTGAAAGCCCTGGAGGCCAAATGGCAACCTTACCTCAACTTCCTTGTTCCTATCGTGCAGGCAGGTTTGCAGCTGCTGGATGATCCCCTCCTGCTCCTTCTGTCTGTTGCAGGATTTCTCCTCAATCTCCTCCTTGAGCCAGCGGAGGTTTTGGCAGGTTGCTGACACCTGCTCTAGTTCCAGGGTTTTGGCTTTCAATAGGCTCTCCAGACTCTGGGGATCACAACAGAAGTGGATTAACCAGGCACAGGGCCTTTCCTCTTAAACAACCACCAGTAGCAAGTCATTCGCATTCACCCCCTCTCCTCTCCAGGCACTGCACCATGTATGCACCCAGCCCAGGAACAACACAGACCGCCCAGGAACCTGCAGAGCACACGGGGCCAACACCCTGCACGCCAAGGACAGCCGCAGCGTTGCACGGGAGCTGCTCCAGCGCTGGGCTCACCCCGCACAGCCCCGCTGCGCTCTGCGGGCGCAGGCACCAGCACTCACGTGGATCGTGGCCTCGCTGCTGGACAGGACGCTGCGCAGCCGCTCCACGTCACCGCCCCGCGCCCTGGCCGCGGCGCGGAGCTGCTGCACCTCTTGCTCCTTCTGCTCCAGAGCGCAGTACTTTTCATCTACTGCTCGCTATAGTGAGAGAGGATAATCACTCAAAGTTGGACAGAATACTTGTAAAATACACAGCTTGCCATGTCAGGCACCCAAGCTCTCCCTTAGAGAAGGCTCCTTTGCAGATGGGGACACAAAGAGCATTCTGAAAACATAGCCACCCTGGGATCAGCTTTGGGCAAGCAGTGTGGGGCTGCACCTCTGATGCTAAACCAAAGGCTGAGCTGCAGGGAAGTAGGGAGGCGTCACCAACACACTGTGCTCACCTCCAGAGCAGCATCCCTGTCACTGACTCGCTGCTGCAGTTTCTCCAGCATGGCATCCATGGCTGCAGGGCTCTTGTTCAGACTTTGCTGGCATTGCAGAAGTTCCCTTGATTCCTAAAGGGATAATACATACACCTCCCAGTAAAACTCAGTCAGGACATGTCCGGGAAGCATCCCAGGAGAATCTGGGCCAACTACCCACACCTGCCAGTTCTACCACCCCCCACCACTAAAGGGCAGGGCAGTTGCAGCACCTGCAGGCTGACTGACCAGGCAGCTGTGAGAGCTCCCTAGGCACCACCTTGGGCAGAGGCACTCACGCCTCCTTCCTCCTGTGCCTCCTTCCTCCTCTTGGAGCCCAGGAGCAGCTCTAACTGCCCCTTCTGAAGGGCATGTGTGAGAACTACACTGACACTTGCACCTCTAAATACCAAAGGAGGAAGAGGATCCCTGGCTGTTCAGGCTCTGCTCCAGTCTTCCTGTGTCTCACCTGCAGAAGTTGTTCCTTGCGAGCCAGGTGTTCATTCAAGCGCTGAACCCTCTGTCCCTGGGCCTGCAGCTCACGACACTTCTCCCACTCTGCAGCCTGGAGCTGCTGAGCCTTGTCCTGCAGTTCTGCCTGCAGCTGCTGCACCACAGCACGCAACTCCTGCAAAGGAAAGCACTTGTCTTGTTTACAGGTCCCTTGAGGACTGCAAACAACAGGCCAGTCTGAAGGAGGCGAGAGCAGCAAGGGCTGTGGAACAGCCAGAAGTGCTTTGTGTTACTAGACACATTTTTCACAGTGCAAAATACAGTTCCTTGCTAATGAAGTTTGAATTTATTTCCCTTTCCAAGGCACCTATCCATTTTTCAATTCCTCCCTGTGGCCACAGGTAGAGCTTTACCACCTACCACAGCTTGCCTGCTGCAGGGAATACAGCTTTGTAACATTACAAGAAGACCTAGACACCTGCAGCAACCAAAAGCATAAGAATGGCAACAGACACATTGTCACATATCTTTGCTGATTCCAAGTCCTGGGCAGGAAGCTAAGGAGACTTGAGAAGGCTCCAAAAGGGTCAGTCAAGTATAACCAAGAGTCTAGGCAGAGATAAACAAGGGCAGAGTACAGACTACCACAGTGCTTTAACCCTTGTAACCCTACCAACTACCAGGCTAAGTGCCTGCCATACCTGGTTGTGTTTCCAAGTTGCCTCTTTTTGCTGCTCTTCCTCATGCACTGTGGTTTCTAGGAGCTGGGCCACTCTCCTGGCTTCAGCCAACTGATGCTCTTTCTGACGCTGAACCGTTTTCAACTTCTGCACCTCCAGCTGGGTGCAGAAAAGCGTGTTCTGAAGATCCAGCAGCGCAACATTTTGCTGCTGGGGTGAGGCTGGACCTTCTGGCATCTGATGAGAGTGAAGCAAAGAAATTCAAGGTCCGCTTCACTCAATGGGTCTGAAGTTCCTGAGCCCTGAAGGACAACTGATGGGCTCAAGGCTTTCCGGGGACGTACCTGCAGCTGCCCAAGCTGGCTTCTGTGCAGCATGTCTCGCAGCTTGGCCATCGTCTCGTTCTGCCCTTCAATGACATGGTACAGCTCTTCCGTCTACAAGGCAAAGGACAGGAAGCCCAGCTATTGGCAAGCTGAGCACAAACCCTCTCTGTCCCAAGCCTCCAGCACAGATTATGCCACGTCAGACTCACAAAAGCACAAAAACCTCTCCAGAAACAACTTAGTGAGATCCAGAATGTCATGCAGTGGCTTTTCAGGCACCGCGTACGAGGACTAGCACACTTTGCTCTGTCAGTGCACACCACCCTGCCTGCCCAGTGCTGTTACCTCACTCTCCTTGCTCTTCAGGGACTCATTCAGACTCTGGATTGTACGGTCTTGTCTCTGTGATGTTTCTTGGACAGACTTCAATTCAAAGTTCAACTCATTCATTTTTTCCTGTAGCAACTGAACGCAAAGAAATATGAAGTTTGTCTTATCCTACCTAAAGCTTTATCTAAGCACACTTAGAACTCCCTCCAGCCTTTACTCAGTCCATATAGCCCAGATGTTGACCCAATCAAGACCAATGTTGTTCCCTCCAGAGCATAGATAGGCTCACAGTTGGAGCTGTGTGGAAACTACTATGAAGAAACACAAATCCATCCCTTTTCCACAGGACTTTCAGTGCTCCTAGTTCCTCCAATGCAGCTCTGGGGTTCAAGGCAGAGTATCCAGGCTTAGATTTCACATATTGCACCACTTCCCACAGACTCCAGAAGAATCCTGCTCCAACTGCTCAGCACCCTTCACCATTTCTATCATTAAACAAACAGTTCTCCAATAAACAATTATCTAAACAACATGTTCCTTTAAGAAGCAGGAACTGCTTCAGCTCCCAAAACTCCCAAAAGATATGAACAAAAATTGTCACTCTTTGCTTTTAAAGCCTCCCAGTTTAACGCAGCTACATGTCTACAATCTCCCAATCCCTTCTCTTACCACCTCCTTACCCCATCCAAGCATTTTTGTGGCAACTGCTGGTCTAGGTAATGCCACATTTGCTCAGATGAATGGTTCATCTGGCCTCAAGATCTCGCTGCAGCACGGAGTCTACAATGTGCCAGCTTTGCAGAGCAAAGTGGAACTTCTTGCTATGCTCTGTGATTGATTTTAAACAACTGTCTTAGACATATTCACCCTAAAGAGGGCAACATAGCTCAAACAGTTTCAGGACAGTTATCTTCTTTCACCAAGACGTACCTGACTGCATTAAAGCAAGTGCTTGTCAACATTGTTGAATATACTGCCTTTGGACAGTCTTAGAAGACACTCAACTTTCCTGGAACTGATTCCAGCCTTAATTTCCCAAGGAGCTGGTACTGCCACATAATCTTCTCTGTTTTGTTATTGGCTTACAGATCTGTCGTGCTCTCTGTTCTGGGGCATGTTTCCCCCCCACTCATATACACACAAATTTAAACACTCCCAATGGCATTCACTGGGCCTTGGGCCTCTTCTGTTTCCCTGCCAACCTTTGTGGACCAGGTGCTCAACAGCTTACAGGTGTCCTTGAATTCAAATAAAGAACCTAAGGAGTGATGTTCTTCCTTTTATCTCCTGTTTTCCCCTTGCGGATAGTTACCTTAGAGTTCAAGAGTGTAGCTAAGAACATCTATCCTTTGCAACATGTACTAAACTTGATCTGCCTCACGACTATGTGGCTTTCTTAGGAAAGAAGCTCATAGCCTTTGAATCCCAGTGAAAACAGGGCCACTCCCTACCCCAAGCTGATCTCCCTGCTTGCAAAAAAACAGCCAGTTGTCTCAAACACAGCTGCTCTTCTTCCCTGCACCAGGCTCAAAGTAGGCAAATACCCAGGGAAGGAAAACAGGCTCTGGGTATCTCTCCTTCATTCACTCCCAGCAGGCTTACAAGGCAAGCAGGAACTCCCCCCAAAGCCAATTTGCAAAAATAAATATGGAGAGTTTACACAGCACAGCTGCAGCAGAGAAAAAAGCTCAAGTGCTTTCAACTCAAGCTGAGAGCTAGCAGCACCAGGAACACAGCGTCGGTGCAAGTGCCCTCGCTGGAACAGAGCTGGGGCCACCTGCCTCCAGCCCAGCTGCATGCAGGGAGGACAGGGCAGCTCCCCCTACTACGTGAGGCTTGTTAGGCACCAGATGTGCTGCTCATGGTGAAATACCTTATTGGTGGCATCAAGTTGCTGGACTTTGCCCTGCAGCTCCACAGCGTGCGCATCAGGCTCTGCGGATGTGGGCTCCCCTGGGGCTGGCTGCTGAGGTTCATCTTGCCGATTCTGGAAAGGAGGAGAAACGGTTCAGATCTCGCACTGGTCTCAACCCGCTTGCAGACCTTACAGCACAGGCTTAAACAAACCCAGCTGGGTTTTTCTAACTGCCTTGTGAGCACCCTGCTGCCCGTGCTTCCTCCATGCGGGTGGCAGGTCAGTACATGGCTGCTCGCTGCCAGCAGCAACCCTGACGCTCCGCTGTGGCTACCCATCTCCCCACACGCCCTCCCAGTGGGCGCTCAGCAGCTCGGCTGTCTCCAGGCTGATGGCAGATCTGCTGCCCACACCCAAGCCATGTCCTGAAACCTGCCTGCTGCCCTGCTGGCAGCTTCAGTCACATTAAACTGTTTTTCTTCCCATATTCTGCCAAACTTATCCCTCTTTATCAAGCCTATAACCTTCAATCTCTCCCATCAACTATCGGCCTCTGTGGCACAGTCACCCCTGCTCTAAATTCCTTCACTTGCAGATCTCTAGGCTCTCCTTCCCAGCTCGCCATGCTCCAACACCCTCGCTTTGTACAATTTCCTTCAGCTCCATAAATCAAATTCAATGTCACAGCTGAGACCTTATGCACAGACGATATCTATTTACTGGGAAAGGGAAGAGCCCAGCGCCTCCTGATGCACAGGCTCGGCTGCCGGAGCGCACACTAAGCCCCTGCCACCCCTTCCTGCTGTTCTGCTGACAGCAAACTGCACACTCCCTGCACCCAGGGAGCCCAGCCTCCCGCCCTGGCCCTCCGGGACACAGCAAGCATTCCTGAGCAGCTCCAGTGACACGAGACTGATCTAGGTCTATCGCACTATTGCAGCTCAGAGTGAAATGACACTGATTTTTTTTTTTTAATATTTTGGTGGAAGCCTAACCAGCGGCTGCAAGTAGGTTCAACTTTGCCCAGCCAGAAGGTTTTGAATCAGGCAGGGGGAATTTCACACACAATAACTGTGTGTAATTGCTAGAATTTCACACACAACTATTTTGCAAGTAAGGGTGCTGAAAACAGAGGGAAAAGAAAAGTCTCTTCTTGCAATGCGAATAGCCCAAAGAAAAATAAACAAGAGTCCTGTAAACAGCAAAGAGACAGGAGGAAAAGGGCAGAGCCAGCTCCAGGGTCCAAAGTCCCTAAGCCCAGGCTGCCTCCTCCTTTGTGCCACACTGCAGTCACGGCTCCCCAGAGGTTTCCCTATGTCAACATTTGCCTACAAACTCCGCTCCTCGCTGCCTTCTCCAACACAGCCCCAGCAATGTCAGCACACATGAGCTTAGATTGAGAGTCGTATATAAAAAAAAAATCTTACACAAGAGCCTTCAGTTCTCTAGCAGCATAAACCTTTCCCCTTCTGCTGCTAAAATCACCCAAACACTCGAGAGCCCCAGCACTGCGGTCAGCAGTTGCAGTTGGGTTGTTGCCACAGCAAGAAACGGGAAGTAAAAAATTTGGCAGGACAAATTCCCTGAAAGGACTGTTGTACAGCAGAGGCTGGGGTTTAAAGAAATCCCTCTAAGCAATTCAGAGATACAAGGATAGCCAGGCACGACACAAAGCCGAGCTGCTCGCACGTCACACCGATTCCTCCACGCGCTGTTAAAAGAAAGCCTGTTTTTACGCTAAAAATGTACCACTAGGAGTGAAAAAGAGCAGCAATGGACAGAATGCAGCAGCAGCATCCATGCCCTGCTCCACATCTTCGATTGCAGGCTAGAAACGCGATGCCTTAGTGTGCCACATGAAAACTAGTGGTAGAGGTTTGCATTCCTCCATAACGTCATTCTCAAGCAGATTATTGTGAGAAGAGCAGAGAGCTCTGGAAAACAGCCGAACAGATGGCAGAGGGAGCAGCCCTCACTGAATAGGAAGCACAGCTCAGTACAGCTACAGTTACCATAGTAAAAACAAGCATTTTTCTACTCCTCGAGGCTACCCAGAGTATTAGGCAGCGCTAAGGCTGCTAACGCGAATGCAATTAGGCTGACACGGATATTCCTGAATTAAAGCTGACTGAGGCCTTCTATTCATTAAGGGAAGTGATAAGGGAGTTGCGAGTTCAGCTTTTAGCCTGCATACTAATGAAGCACGGCAGAGAGAACCCTGCACTACGAGCGGGCCAAAATCTCAGCAGGTAACAGCCCCTGGCATCTTGCAAAAGCCAGAGAGCTCAGGGCTCTCAGCAGTAACTGCATTAACGGAATCTTTTTACAGGATCAGAAAACAAGAGCAGTCATCTAGAACACCAGCTCTAAAGCTATGCACTAGCACAAATCCACCTGCAACGCCTTCTCCTTAGGGCATGTGCCCCAGCTCAGGGCACAGATCTGGTTTGGGGACTCACCAGCAGAGGCAGGGCTCTAAACACAGACATGCCCGACCTGCAGCCATTGCCAAGGCTCAAAGGAAAAACGCTGGCTGAAAAACACATGCCCAGAAGCGTAAAGCACTCCCTTCAGCTGTGGGGAAAATTCAAATTGTCTGTTTAAAGAGAAAGATGAAGTGACACTGGCATTTTCTCAGCAGAGAGCACACAAAGATCTCAGACCCAGCTAGTGTCCTGCATTCACAGGGAGAGATGCCCGAGGGTAATTTCCCAGAACAGAGTAGGGAAACAGATCACAGGAGAAGGACAGAGAGGGACCGCGCCTAAAAAGGACGGAGCTGCCTATTCTTAGCCCATGGTTCAGCGACACGTGGCTCTCCGTGTTATCTCAACACGGAGGAATTCCCAAAGGACTCGGAGCCGAGCCGCAGGGACGCTGCTCAAACAAGAGGCTACACAATGACCTCTACCTGTACCCGAAGCGGCATGTAATCCTCACAGAGATCGTCCCACAGCTCCTGCAAGTCAGAAATCTCCAAGGAAAGACCCAAGTGAGCTCTGGAAAGAGATTTCCTGTCTGCGTTCAGGAAACCAGAACCAGCATACATCAAGCCAGCAGAAGTACTTCCATCCGCCGAGTCGCGGCTCAGCCTTGGAGGCGGCAGGGTGGATTTCACAGGGATAGGCAGCTTGCTGCCTTTGGGGCTCTGAACAGGTTTGTAGTCCAAGGCCTTGATCAAGCTAAGGGCCAGCTCCAGCCTATTCCCACTCAGCGAGGAGTTTGGGGTCAGACGGTCATCCGAGAAATCATCGCACTTCCCGCTCCCCTTCATCCCCTTGTCCGCGTCTTCATCCTTCTGCTGCGGAGGGCTGGCCTCCACGGTCGTGTCCAGCGACTCCATGGAGGACGCAGGCGTCCCTTCTTCCATGCTCTCCCCATCCAGCGGCACCCTGGCCCCAGCCAACTCGGCCGTGTCACACACGGACGACTCTTCGTTGCCCACGCTTGCCGACCACCGGCTGGACAGCCCGCACGAGACGCTCCTGGCCACCTTCCGCGGCACCTATGGTCGGCGTCGGCCACACGCAACGTGGCGCAGCCTCGGCAGCGCCGCGGGCGGCTGCCCGCTCCCTCTGGTGCGTGGCAGCTGTGCGGCTCCAGGCCGTGCTCCTCGTGCTCCGTCCAGCACTCGTACCCAGAGTAAGCAAAGTCCTCTTGGAGAAGGGCAGCGTACCGAACGTCGGGCAGGTTGGAGAGGTCCACGGTGCCCTCCCCAGCTTTGTCCTCCGTGCTGGGGTCATCGTTGTTCCTACGGTACATGCTGGCAATGCAGAACTTGAGGCGGTCCTTCTCCAGCAGCAGCTTCTGGAGGCGCTCGATGGAGAGGGCCTCGATGCGCGCGATGACCGTGTCGAACCTGTAGATGCGGTCCAGCATGAAGGCACACTTGCCGCAGGCGAACTCGGCTTTGCCGTCGCGGCACAGCTCCCTGCCCAGGACGTGGGAGAGCAGCACCTGCAGGGTGAGCTTGGCCGCCGGGTGGAAG